TTTCTGCCTGTTGGCTAGTCCTCCTGGAGGTTACTACATGATGGGATTAGTCAGGTGTCAACTTTACCCCATTACCTAATCACAATGGGATGTTTATCCCAATGTGTAATATTTGTTTGTATTGTTCATGTGGGGACTGCCCCTACTTTTGAAGTGTATAACAGCCTGTATTTCTGTTAAATAAAGGGGGCTCTATGCTTTGGGATGTTTGTGCCTGAGGGGGACCTTTGGAGTTGTTTTAATTTATATTCAAGTTCATGTCTTCCTGAAACACACACTCTGGGAACTGGAGGACCCGGACAGAGAATTGGGGCCTCTGTCCAAACCAGTATTGCATGCTTCATTCCCCCACCTAAACTCAGAGACTTAGAGCAGATGGTAGTATAATCAGCTCAAAACAACCTGTTGCTGACGTCTCGTTGTGCCTATCTACCATTGTTAATTGAGTCACCTATTGTTTCTGCCTATTGGCTAGTCCTCCTGGAGGTTCCTACATGATGGGATTAGACCAGAGTCAACTTTACCTCGTTACCTAATCACAGTGGGATGTTTATCCCAAAGTGTTATATTTGTTTGTATTGTTCATGTGGGGACTGCCCCTACTTTTGAAGTGTATAACAGCCTGTATTTCTGTTAAATAAAGGAGTTCCTTGTTGCACCTAAACTATTATTGTCTAGTTCTTAGGTGCAATGCCCAGCTATAATACCTTGTTCCTGGGTTCCAGCAGCGAGGAAGCAGTTATCTGACGGAAGCACCCAGGCGGGGTGCCAGGTGGTCCGTCAAACAGTTTGTTTACCCAGTAAAACTAGAGCAAATGACAAAAATAAAAGAGACCCCAGACTCTGAAATCAGTATGGGTCTACAAGTACATGGCCATAGCGGGGAAACTGTAATACACTATTCTATTAAAAACATGCACAGGCAGCTACAATAAAAACCTGGCTGGATGGCACTGGCAGGCACGGTGGAGTTCTGGAACCCTCATACATAAACAATAATGTAATCCTGACTGCTAGAAGCACAATGCATGCGTGTGTCTGAGCCCCCCCCGTTACTTAGGGCTCAGGTCTCGTTAGTATTTTTAAATGCCATAATTCCAAGCAATGCAAATTCTCATTGTTCAGTATATTAGTCTATTATTGAGATGAGGCCTGATTTGTTCATTGTATAGCCTACTGTATAGCAATCTCAGTCTCTTACCAGCACAGATAATCTTCCAGTTTTAGTATGCACTATTTTTATTCTGATTTTGTTATCCTCCCTCATCTAACAGAGAAACACATGAGCTCCGCAACACCACCATGAACAGGGATTTGAGCCCAGTGGCTCAGCTGCCATCATGCTGAGAGAGCCTCCAATTTGTACAATCAGGGCTCTTGAGTGTCAGCTGATCTCAGCGTTTAATCATATTGCCCCAGGCAATCAACCTGCCAGCTGTGTAGCATACAATATTGCATACATTCCGACTGCAGACATCAATGTATGAAGCCAACAAGAATAATGGAAGTGACAGCACCACATATACAAAGGAAAAAGAAACATTTCTATATCCTGGAGCCCTTCCTGATTTTATACTTTTATATATAGTATATATACAAAGCATTGAATAAGTATTCATACCCCTTGAAATTTTCCACATTTTGTCAAGATACAAACAAAACATATATATAAACTGGTGCAGCGCTTACCCTAATAAATATCTATTAGTGCATGAATACAATAATAATTATTAATACGTGACTAAAAATGTATACCGTGAATATTATTGTGAAGTGAACTGATCCACTCAGGGATCTAAAGTGAAAACCAAAAGTGACTGAACATGGTGTTATAAACAGAAGCAGTGAAACCAAAAAAAGTCCAAATGGGACTAAAAATAATTTGAAAAGACAAATAAATGGTAGGTACTTGTCTGTTAATTCACCGGATTTATTTATTTTATATATATATATATATATATATATATATATATATATATATTTATATATATATATATATATATATTTTATATGTTTTATTTAAATATATCAAATATATATATTTATATATATATATATATATATATATATTTTTTTTTTTATATATATATTTAAATAAAACATATATACATATATATATATAAATATAAAAAATATATATATATATATATATGTTTTATTTAAATATATCATATATATATATGATATATTTAAATAAAACATATAAAATATATATTTTTTTATTTTTATATATATTTATATATATATATATATATATAATATGTTTTATTTAACCACTTGCCGACCGCGCATAGCCGAATGACGGCTTCACCGCGGCCGGCCAGTTCTGAGTGGACGTCATTGACGTCCTCCCAGAACGCGCTCTCCTGCGCGCCCCCCAGGGGGCGCGCACCCGGCGATCTCCGTGATCGCTGTGTCCTACGGACACAGCTGATCACGAGATGTGGTGAAAGGCCGATCCCACCGGCCTTTTACCACGTGATCAGTGGTGTCCAATGACACGCTGATCACAGGGAAATGCAAGTGCCGGTTCTCGGCTGCACTTTCCTCACGCTGTCAGATCGTGAGGAAAGTACTGCCGAGAACCGGCAGTTGTCAGAGCGGGGATCGGCACCGATCATCAGGGCACTGATGATCAGTGCCCTGATGATCGGTGCCCAGCAGTGACCCCCGCAAGTTCCGATCAGCTGTGCGCCCACTAGCCCCGCCCACCCATTCCCAGCAGTGCCCCCACCTGTGCCCAGCAGTGCCCCCACCTGTGCCCAGCAGTGCCCCCACCTGTGCCACTCTGCAGTGCCACCTACCTGTGCCCAGCAGTGCCACCTACATGTGCCCAGCAGTGCCACCCACCTGTGCCCACCCACCTGTGCCCACCAGCGCCACCCACCTGTGCCCACCAGTGCCACCCACCTGTGCCCACCCACCAGTGCTGTCCACCAGTGCCACCCACCAGTGCCACCCACCAGTGCTGCCAGTCAGTGCCACCAGTCAGTGCCCAGGGGTTGTGCCAGTCAGTGCCCAGAAGTGATGCCAGTCAGTGCCGTCTATCAGTACCCATCATCAGTGTCACCTATCAGTGCCGCCTATCAGTGCTGCATATCAGTGCCGCCTATCCGTGACCCCTAATTAGTGCTGTCTATCAGTGCCGCCTATCTGTGCCACCTCATTAGTACTGCCTATCAGTGCCCTTTAGTGCTGCCTATCAGTGCCCATCAGTGCCGCCTATCAGTGCCCATCAGTGCCGCCTCATCAACGCAAATCAGTGAAGGAGAAAAAATACCTGTTTGAAAAATTTTATAAAAGAAACAAATAAACTTTTTTTTTTTTTTTTCAAATTTTTTTGCACTTTTTTTAATTTATAGCGCAAAAAGTAAAGCGCCCAGTGGCGATTAAATACCACCAAAAGAAAGCTCTATTTGTGAGAAAAAAATGATCAAAATTTCATATGGGTACAATGTTGCATGACCGCGCAATTGTCAATCAAAGTGCGGCAGCGCTGAAAGCTGAAAATTGGCCTGGTAAGGAAGGGGGTATAAGTGCCTGGTAGGCAAGTGGTTAAATATATAAAAAAAAAATATATATATATATATATACATATATAAATAAATAAATCCGGAGAATTAACAGACAAGTGCCAAATGGTATATGACAAATCCCTTAAATTGGGAAAAAATAGCTCACAAAATAATAATCACAAAAACAAACAAAGTGACAATAGTGACAAGTGCTGTGTTACAACATCAAAAAACTCCCAAATATAAATGAACATATAAAAATAATGTTATGAAAAACATCAACACCACTCAATTATGAATAATATTATGCAGTAAGTCCAAAAAATAATACAAATTATAAAAATAAAAAATAGACAAAAAAGTAAGTACCAAGAAATATATATAAAAAAATATATATACATATGTATATATAAAAAGTTCAAAGGTGCATAAACACCAAGTGATCCAACGATTTTTGAAACATACCGGTGATAAAGTGGATGTGCATAACAACCAATGGGAAATAATCTGTAAGCGGCAGAAATGCCCCCTCACCTCCTTGAAGCGACCCAAACGGGCTAAAACGCTTTTCATAACATTATTTTTATATGTTGATATATATTTGGGAGAATTTTGATGTTATAACACAGCACTTGTCACTATTGTGGAGTTTTGATCCCTCAATAGGGATTCATTTATTGTCACTTTGTTTTCAGTTTTGGCAATTTAAGCCACTGTGATTATTATTTTGTGAGCCTGCTCGGATTGGCTGAGGTTGTGACATCATCAGCCCACCTCTGTGACTCAGCCAATCTGAGCAGGCTTTGTATTCATTAGTAGAATACATCACTCGCCGTGATTGGCCCAGTGTATACTGTATGTAGCCGCATCTACCGTACATACACGCATCCAGCGGGCTGATTACAGTAGGGACGTTTTGAACCCGCTTGGCTCAGCGCAGTATACTGTATATACCGCACATCCAGCGGGCTAACAGATTAATCTGTCATAGGGACATTTGTTTTGAGCCAGCTTGGCTCAGCACGGTATACTGTATATACAGCATTACTACACATACAGCCAGCTTGACACAAACAAACTCAATTTGTTTCACATTGTATACCCCGCGTATAAGACGACCCCCAATTTTTGGGGTATATTTTTAAGTATGAAAAGTAGTCTTATACGCCAGAAAATACTGTACTTGGTCCTAGTTTAAGGGATTTGTCATATACCATTTATTTGTCTTTTCACATTATTTTTAGCCCCATTTGGACTTTTTTTGGGGGGTTTTTTCTGTTTATAACACCATGTTCAGTCACTTTAGGTTTTCACTTTAGATTCCTGAGTGGATCAGTTCACCTCACAATAATATTCACGGTATACATTTTTAGTCACGTATTAATAATTATTATTGTATTCATGCACTAATAGATATTTATTAGGGTAAGCGCTGCACCAGTTTATATATACCGTATTTTTCGCTCCATAAGACGCACCTAGGTTTTAGAGGCAGAAAACAGGAAAAAAAATATTCTAAACCAATGGACTGCAGACATAGTACAGGAGATGACCAGAGACTGCGGACACAGTACAGGAGATGACCAGAGACTGCGGACACAGTACAGGAGATGACCAGAGACTGCGGACACAGTACACACAGAGATGATCGGAGACTGCAGACATAGTACAGGAGATGATCGGAGACTGCGGACACAGTACAGGAGATGATCAGAGACTGCGGACATAGTACAGGAGATGATCGGAGACTGCGGACATAGTACAGGAGATGATCGGAGACTGCGGACATAGTACAGGAGATGACCAGAGACTGCGGACACACAGTACAGGAGATGACCAGAGACTGCGGACATAGTACAGGGGATGACCAGAGACTGCGGACATGTAGTCATCTCCTGTACTATGTCCGCAGTCTCTGGTCATCTCCTCTACTATATCTGCAGTCTCTGGTCATCTCCTGTACTGTGTCCGCAGTCTCTGGTCTTCTCCTGTACTATGTCTGCAGTCTCTGGTCATCTCCTGTACTATGTCCGCAGTCTCTGGTCATCTCCTGTACTGTGTCCGCAGTCTCTGGTCATCTCCTGTACTATGTCCGCAGTCTCTGGTCATCTCCTGTACTGTGTCCGCAGTCTCTGGTCATCTCCTGTACTGTGTCCGCAGTCTCTGGTCATCTCCTGTACTGTGTCTGCAGTCTCTGGTCATCTCCTGTACTGTGTCCGCAGTCTCTGGTCATCTCCTGTACTATGTCTGCAATCTCTGGTCATCTCCTGTACTGTGTCTGCAGTCTCCGGTCATATCCTGTGCAATGTGTGCAGTCTCTGGTCATCTCCTGTACTATGTCCGCAGTCTCTGGTCATCTCCTGTACTGTGTCTGCAGTCTCTGGTCATCCCCTGTACTGTGTCCGCAGTCTCTGGTCATCTTCTGTACTATGTCCGCAGTCTCTGGTCATCTCCTGTACTGTGTCTGCAGTCTCTGGTCATCTCATGTACTGTGTCCGCAGTCTCTGGTCATCTCCTGTACTATGTCCGCAGTCTCTGGTCATCCCCTGTACTGTGTCCACAGCCTCTGATCATCTCCTGTACTATGTGCGCAGTCTCTGATCATCTCCTGTACTGTGTCCGCATTTGTTCATAGTTTTTTTTTTTGTTTTAAACTATAGTCCGGCCCTCCAATGGTCTGAGGGACAGTGAACTGGCCCCCTGTTTAAAAAGTTTGAGGACCCCTGTTCTAGAGCAACAGCTTATTCAATATAAACAGATGACATTAATTGGCATGGCTCTCTGAGGGTTCTAGGAACAACCCTACACCTGGGAGAGTGAAGAGAACGTCTGATGTTATTACCAGACAAAAGGCAACTAAAAAAAACTATGTGTATTTTTTAGGGCTGTAGGAGTGCTCCACTAGGGAGAAGAGAGAAAATTGGGGGTGAGGAGCGTAGACCAAAATTGGCCTTTAAGACAGCACGATCTATAACCCCTCCATTGTGAGCAGCACATCTGGGCTCAAATTGTGCCTGGGAGAGTGACAGTCAGTCTGCTTGATATTCTCTAAAACACAACAGGCAGGAATTTTAATGCCTTGGTGTGAAGGCATGGATGACACTGACAGCTAAATTATCTGCATGTAGACAGGTGCAGTCTGTATTCTCCACTGTAGGTGGCGATCAACCGGAGTGCTACCACAGCCTGGAAACATGTTTTCTCTATGGTTTCCTGGGTCATTGAGGCATTGTTCCAGATAGCTATGCTGCATCCATGTGACCCCTGGCAGCCATCTTGGGTCAGCAGGGTCTTTATAAGTCCCTGCCCCTGTGTTTTGGCAAGCATTTTGATAAATAGGTAGCATAGGGAGAGACATGAAAAGTAATTAGCTGCAGGAAAAGGTTCCTGATGAGTAGGAACAGGCTAGGTGTTTGCTATCCTGCAAGGAAGCCCACCTTGTTGGGACCAGACCAGCCAGGCCGCACTCCACCCTCTGAGACAAACACTGTCGGTGCATCTCTTCCCACTTCATCTGTCAGGGATCGCGGCGTCCTGACGGCCGGCGCATGCGCGCTGGCAACGGCTCACGCCGGGATACAAGCACTAGGTCCCGGCGAGCAGCGGATGACAGGACGCCGCGCATGCACAGTGGTAGCCGGGGGCGCGCCTCGGGCGGCCAATGACAGCCCGGGGGCGCGTCCTGGGCGGCCAATGACAGTGCAGGGCGCGATATTTAAAGATGCCCTGCACTGTCACTGATTGCCGCAAGGTCTTCTGAGTTCCTGAATCCTGTACCTGTGTTTTTGATCCTGATTGACCCTGACTACTCTACTCTCTCCTGCATTTTGACCCGGATTGTCCTGACTACTCTACTCTCTCCCATCCTGACCCCCGGCTTGTTAATCTACGGACTGACTTCTCCTGCTGACCCTGCGAGTGACCTGACGATTCTCCGCCTGCCGATTCTGTACCACGCCTCTCCCACGGGACCACTGCTCGCAATCTATCCTGCTGGGCCCTGCTGTCCTCCTCACATCTGGCTCTACCGGTACCAATACATCCCCAGAGGTTCCCCCTGCCACTGGTGGGCCTGCTCAGAGGTCGTGACCTGGTCCTGATCTGTTTCAAGTCCATCCCCACCATCAGGGGCCCTGGTGAAAGCACAGACCGGGACTTAGACTCCACGCTTTGGGTAGGTCTGTCAAGTGGGCAGCCAGCAGCACCATCTGGCGGATCATAACAGTACCTTGCGGCCATGACAGAGCCAGGAAGAGGACCGGCGTCCCTAGAGGATATATGCCAGCATCTGGCGACTCTAACCCAGGCCGTCCAGAACTTTCACAGCCGCTGCACCCGTCTTGAAGACCGCTTAGAGACATTAGCCACCCAGACTCCCCCTGCTCCTAGTTCCGCCACTACGGAGTCACCCGCTACCTCAGCATCCGGAGCAGTTGCTGCACCCCTAGCTCCTGAACCCCGCGTTCCCCTGCCGGAACGATTCCGTGGAGACCGAAGCCGCTTCCGGGCCTTCCGGAACACGTGCACTTTATTTTTTGACCTGCAGCCCCGCACATTCATCACCGAGACCGTCAAGGTGGGGTTTGTAATCTCCCTCCTTCAGGATGAGCCCCAGGATTGGGCTCATCGCCTGATGGAGAAACGCGACCCCCATCTTGATTCCGTGACTGAGTTCTTTCAGGCCATGGCCGTCCTATATGACGACCCCCATCGGGCTGCCTCTGCAGAGGCTACGCTATACTCTCTGTGGCAAGGCCGCCGGGCAGCCGAAGAGTATGCGGCTGACTTTAGGCGTTGCATGGGAGATACCAGATGGAACGATGCAGCACTATGTCACCAGTTCCGCATCGGGCTGTCTGAGTCGCTAAAGGACGAACTAGCACGAGTAGGTCTACCGGACTCTCTTGAGAAACTGATAGAGTTGGCCATCCAAATTGACCGCAGACTAAGAGAGCCTGGAAAGGAGCAGCCAGGGTCAAAGGTTGGCATGGATTCCACCGAGGGAAGCAGTTCCAACCCCAGGGAACCATACCCGGAGCACGGAAGCAGGGGACACCTCGGAACCCATGCAACTGGGACTGGCCCGTTCCACTTTATCGGCCGAGGAACGTCAGAGGAGACGATCGCAGAACCTATGTCTGTACTGTGGGGAAGCTGGTCACCAGGTGCGCTCCTGTCCTGCAAAAATGAGTAAGTCCGCTTCCTGTTTTCCTTTACCTACTGAAAGGGGTGATCAACCTAGTTACCTGGCAATACCTGTGTCTTTACAGCTCCCCGGAAGAACCCTGTCGGTGACCGCAATCATTGATTCGGGAGCATGTAGTTGTTTCATCGACCTTACTTTTGCTCACCGGCAAAAGATTCCCCTCCAGACCAAAAAGGGGGTTTAACATCTTCCTGGCAGACGGGTCTAGCATAAGGTCGGGAGTGGTGGATCAGGAGACTCCCCCTATTTTTACCACGATGGCTGACCATCATCAGGAGTTCCTCCGTCTGGATGCCATCGCATCCCCCCTTTTCCCAATCATACTGGGGCTTCCTTGGCTGCGGGCCCATAACCCCCAGGTTGATTGGGAGATGGGAACGGTTCAATTTCGGTCACCGTACTGCCGGGATCACTGCCACGTCCCAGGGCCCGTGTCTTCCCGGTTTCTCCTGTGCATGGATGGTGATACGGATCTTTCTCAGGTTGTCCCTCCGGCCTACCACGATTTCCTAGACGTGTTTAGTAAGCGAGGAGCAGACATTCTTCCCCCGCATCGTTCATACGATTGCCCCATAGACCTCCTACCGGGATCTGAGATTTCGTTTGGTCGCATTTTTCCCTTATCTGAACTAGAATCAGGAGTTTTGAGGGAGTACATTGATGACAATCTACGGAAGGGATTTATTCGCCCGTCCACGTCCCCGGCTGGGGCTGGGTTGTTTTTTGTGGAAAAGAAGGATAAATCATTACGGCCCTGTATTGACTACCGTGACCTGAATAAGATCACAGTAAAAAATCGCTACCCGTTACCCCTAGTCCCCGAGCTCCTCCAGAGGTTAGGATCAGCAGCAATTTTTACTAAATTAGATCTGCGGGGGGCTTATAACCTTGTTCGCATCAGGGAGGGGGATGAGTGGAAAACAGCCTTTCGTACGAGATTCGGTCATTTCGAATATTTGGTGATGCCGTTCGGGCTCTGTAATGCACCGGCCACCTTCCAGCACTTTATCAATGACGTCTTTCGTGATTTCCTCGATGTCTTCGTGGTTGTTTACCTAGATGACATTCTGATATTTTCATCCTCACTGGAGGCTCATAGGGAGCATGTGGCAAGGGTCTTAGCACGTTTACGTCAACACGGGCTTTACGCCAAAGCAGAGAAATGCTGTTTTGAACAGTGTAAAATCACGTTCTTGGGACTGGTTCTCTCTCCCGCGGGGGTTGCGATGGATCCCCAGAAAGTCACGGCGATCTTAGATTGGCCAACACCCACTGATAAGAGGGGGGTACAGCGTTTCATTGGATTCGCAAACTTTTATAGAAAGTTTGTCAGGAACTACTCAGGGCTGGTCTCCCCAATCACGCAACTGACTAAACAAGGGCTCCGTTTTAGTTGGACTCCCAAAGCTCAGACCGCGTTCGACATGCTCAAGAAGTTGTTTACTTCTGCTCCCATCCTCTGCCATCCAGATTCTTCTCTTCCATATGTTTTGGAGGTAGATGCCTCCGAAAACGCGGTAGGAGCGATTCTTTCCCAAAGGAGTGGGACCAAGGAATTACTGCATCCTGTGGCGTTTTTCTCCAGGAAGTTGACTCCGGCGGAGCGCAATTATGATATTGGAGATCAAGAACTCCTGGCCATCAAATCTGCTCTAGAAGAATGGAGGTATCTCCTGGAAGGAGCCACGCACCCAATTCTAATATTCACGGATCACAAGAACCTTGAGTATTTAAGGACGGCGAAACGACTGAGACCACGCCAGGCGAGATGGGCTCTCTTCTTCTCTCGGTTCATCTTTCATATAACGTACCGACCTGGGTCTAAGAATACGAAACCAGACGCTCTGTCCCGTATGTTTGAGGACCCCGACGATACGGTGTTACCTGACACAATTTTGCCATCCGGAAGCTTCCTCGCCCTGCAAACGGAACTTCGCTCCAGACTGATTAACGCTTCCGTTGGACTGCCAGTCCCGCCTGGGTCGCCTCTCCAGAACCGTGAGGGTCTGCTTTGGAA